ACTTTCCTACATAGATAAAAAGAAAAAAAAATTAGAAAAACGGTAGACCCTGAAGGCCATCCGTGCAACTTCCCGCTAATTCCATACCTAGGTGCATAAAACTGCACTAATGACGTTTTTGAGCTCTTCGAGCTCAAAAATACAATTTATGTGTTATAAATGTTAGTCTGATAGAAGTATCATAGAACAAAATTTTTTAAATTTTCAAACTGCACTAACTTTTAAATGAATCACTCGATTTTCACGTGGTTGGCAGTATTTAACGCAATTTTTTTAGTTTCATGGAAAATCTTCAAGTTTGAATTGATAAAACTAGGAAATTTGGAGTAATTCCAAAAAAACACTTTTTTTGGTTTTCTTTCGTTCATGATATTTCTTGCGAATTGACCAATTTTAACCGGCTTGACGACGATCGACGTAATTTTTTCATGCTAATAGTTGATTAATTTTTGAAGTCAATCACAGCAGCCGTTTCAAAGTTATTCCCAAAAAATGTCGGAGTTATGTTAAAAAAACAATTGTTTCCAAATATTTTATCGAGGATATCTCTCGAACTAATCAACCGATTTTGACCGGATTAGCGACGATCTGCGTGGTATTTCAAGCTTGAGAGCGGATTAGTTTTTGAAGTTGATCGATCGAGCCGTTTAAAAGATATTCCAAAAAAACTACTTTCAAAAATGATTTTTTTCTTTTTTTTTTTGAGATTTTTCAAAATTTCTCAGAATCTATCGGTCCGAATTGGTTCAAATGCTCAAGAAATCTAAGTTTGAAGGAACTCTTTCGAACGCCGTTTAGTACACACACACACACACACACACACACACACACACACACACACACACACACACACACACACACACACACACACACACACACACACTCCACTCCGTACGATGTGCTGGTAAATTTATGAGTGATCCAAAGGAAATAAAGATGAGTGAAAACTGGCTCTACGCCCATCAAGCAGCGATTGAAGCGAGCGCTGAAATGAAGCGGTCACAAGCGCTGGAACGCCTTGAAAGGCTGACCGGTGAGGTGAATGAGTTTGTCCAGTCAAAGGTCAATTTCCACAAAGTAATAAAGACCAAGCCAACCAATGTCATCAACGCTCTTCGGAGATTCAAAATACTAGATGAGGAATGGCAGTCATCACGACGACACACTCCCCATGGTATACCGGAAAGGAGCAGACAAAATGCTATTGAAAACGTGGAAGCGATGGATACCGGTGGTGAAGCCGACAATGAGTCAGTCGCTGAAAAAGCAGAAAGAAGTCATTTCAGGTCGGTGAAAAGAACGGAACTCGCCAGAAGCAACAGACGGCCAAGCCAAGAAGAAGAAGGACCTGAAACCAAGCCCTCCGAAAAACATGGCGGTGCAATACGACCATAAAAAAAAGGCGTCTAAATGGCAAAAAGTCCAATCTAGGAAGGAGAAGAGTAAGCAGGCCGAAGAACAACTTTCTAAGCAACGACCGAATGAGGCCCGACTGGAGCCTAAGCGAAAAAAACCGCGCAAACGGATCAGGCCGGACGCACTGATCATCCGCCCAGTAGAGACGGCAAAGTATGCTGAGATTCTGAAACGAATAAAGCAGAACGTCCCTGACGAACAGGTCCGTACTACAGTGGATAAGATCCAAAGAACTAGGACCGGGAGCTTGCTGATCACGCTTTCGAGGAAGAGCACTGACCGAGGCCAAGCCTTACAGAAGACTATCGCGGGCATCCTTCAGGAAGATGCGAAGGTAATCTGCAAAGGACCACAGGAAGACGACGAAATCCGAGAACTTGACGGTACCACAACCAAGGAGGATATTCAGGCTGCCTTGAAAACAGAAATCGGAGAAACCTGCGAGATACCACTAGGGACAATTAAGACCCATAAGGCCTACAGAGGTACTCAGACAGCTGTTGTGACACTACCAGCACCTGCAGCGCGGAAGATATTGACAAGAAGCGGTAAAGTCCGGATTGGCTGGGCCAACTGCCGAATCAGAGCTACGAGGAGACCAATCCAATGTTTCAAGTGCTGGCACTATGGACACCAGAGATCCCAGTGCAAGAGCAATGTGGATCGGTCTAAGTTATGTATCAGGTGCGGACAAGAGGGACACAAGATTGCTGAATGCAAAAACCTAGCGAAATGTGTATTATGCGCGGATCAAAGTGCGGAGAACGCGGCCCATCATGCCAGCTCATCCAGGTGCCCAGTATTTGAAGAGGCACTCCAGAAGATAACAAACAAACAGACATGAAGATATTGCAGCTAAACCTTGTAACGTGGCTGGTTTCGACTGTTCGTAAAGTGAATAAATTTTTGCTTTATAAAATAATTTACTGAAATTTTAGTTTAATGATTAATTACGAACTGGGCCGAAAAGACACGCTCGTTACACCCGGAGTGTAACCAACTCGAAGCCGTAGCTTATAAGAGTCGATGCTGCTTCAGATGCCTGTAGCTTTAGAGTTTACGGCGGATCAAGCCGACAGCTTTTAAAGCTACAAATAGCTAAATTGATTTAATTCGCGTTAGGAATATGGTCAAGGGCAATTCGTGGGTGGCAATACTCGTTGAAAGATAGATTCAGCTCCGACACAAAACCAATCTTTGCCGCGTACTGCTCCGTTGATCGCTCAGTATGAAAAAATAGAGCTAAATGGTCGTCAAATACAAATATTGAAAAATACAGCTCAAAGTAAGTTCGATACCGCGTCCAATTCTTACCAATATACCACCTGACTTACAACAGGTACTACTACCACTTCGGTGTGCTTTAACGTTGTCCAGTGGTGGTAGATTCCTCGTGGCTGCAGCTGGGCCGGTGACTGGATCAGAAACAGACGATTTCATCGAGGTGACCGACAAACCAGGATCCTCAACAAAATGGCTGACTACTCGAGACCTCTTGAGTACACGACATGCCAAGTGAATTTATCTTGTATATGCGTCGGATTATTTAATTAATGTACGACATACTCCTTGCTAACTAATAATCAGAGTCATATCGTACAAATATAGTTTAAAATGCCGTTATTATCTAAAAAACGGTGTAAATTGATAAAATACCGAACATTACGTTGTAACACGGTAAAAATAATTAATTATATTTTAACAAAAATATCAATTACAGAAGTATACATTATGAAGGTAGAACAAAGACTGAATGCACGCGGCTTCCGCGTACATTAATTAGCATTGAGAAGTGGGGATACGCTCTAGCGCCACTCTCAACGATTTTCGTACTATTAACAATTATCATCTAATTTCTAATCTGACTTACATGTTATCAGCAAACGTTTAGTATCAGGTGGTAAATTGGCGTTTACCCAATGTGTGCCAACTGGCCACGTTGCAACCTAAACCATTGAGCTGCACATGATCTGCTTATGCAAACAGCAAGCGAACTAGAGTTAGACTTAGTAATGATAGCAGAGCCATACGGACACCTGAATACCAAGCCTTGGGAATCTGACAGCACCACCAAGGCTGTCATCTGGACCTGTGGTAAGCGTCCCTTCCAGAGTATAGTTAACAATGCCGGCTTTGTAGCAGCAACAGTTAACGGCATCCGTTTCTACAGCTGTTATGCACCACCTAGCCTATCCATTGTTGAATTCACTGAATTCTTGGACAAACTGAACGAGGATGCCAAGCAGCATTATCCAGTCGCGATTGCCGGTGACTTTAACTCCTGGGCAATAGACTGGGGTAGCAAGCAGACCAATGCGCGAGGAAAAGCACTACTAGAAGCTTTTACTACACTAGATGTAGTCCAGCTCAACAGTGGTGATAGGCCAACCTATACTAAACGAGAAGCAAGCTCTATTGTAGATCTCACCTTCGTCAGAAGCAGCCTCATCAGTGGGAAATACGACTGGAAGGTGATGGATATCTACACAGCCAGCGACCACAAGGCAATCCTCTGGGAAATATCACATGACCAAAATACAAGAAGACCAATCAAGTTACTCAATACCATTGGATGGAAAGTGAAGTATTTTGACACAAGCACATTGGTAATAGCCCTGAATAGTGAACCGATCACTACTGGATCCGCAGAAAAAATGACCAAGGACCTGATGAAAAGAGTTGTTCAGGCCTGCGACACAAGTATGGCCCGGAAATGCAGCATAAGCCAACGCCCGGCAGTATACTGGTGGAACGACCACATCAGCGTTCTTCGGAAAGAGTGGCTAAAGAAAAGAAGAATATCCCAGCGTAGCTATCGACGACCTAACTCTGCAGAGCTGGTCGCAGAGTATAAAAAAGCCCGACGAACATTGAACAAAGCCATCAAGGATAGTAAAAGGCAATGCTGGAAAGAGCTCATCAAGATGCTGTACCCTTTTGGCCCACTCTGGATTTCTGAATTCAAAATCATCTAACTCCAGATGAGTTAATTGATCCGCTTGACGCGGTTCTTGGCCATGAAATAAGTAATACGGTGATAGTTTTAGAGAAGAGTGGAAAGCACTATTGTAGGCTAGTTGGAACTCCCCCAGGTGTTCGTCCCACTCTCTCTGGTCTTTATTGATGAAAGCCCTTATCATTGGTTTCAATGTACGATTAATGCGCTCTACTGGATTAGCCTGAGGATGAGAAACGGCTATTGGAGAAAACTTCACTCCGACTTCACGCAGGTAGTCCAGTACTAGAGTGTTAATGAATTCTTTACCGTTATTTGTGACCAGGAACAATGGGTATCCCCAAAGTGTGAACAACCCTTTGAAACACTGCAGTACAAAGCCACCCTTGTGTTGTCGTAAAGGAAAGAAAACCGAAAACCGGGTATAGAGATCTTGGACTACTAAAATGTCACAGTTTCCCCGTTTTGATCTTGTAAAGGGGACTGTGACATCAGCTGCCACGACCGCCCACGGTTTAATCGGTTATCTCGTCTGAAGTGGAGCTTTCGAGGAAGTTTGCTTATATTTAACCTGTTTAAAGGTTTCACAGGCTTGTACGAAGTCTTCAACATCCTTCGACATGCCTGGTCAGTAAAACTTGGTCTTAATGCGCTCGTACATTTTATCACGACCGAGATGACCAGCATCTGGTTCCACGTGATTCCTTCTTAGTGTTTCTGGTACTTTGTGATCTGTCAGTACCTTTTTCCACTCATCCTCGTCACCCAGGATCTCCTTAAGAGGATCGGGTCTTCTATAATAAAGAAGATCTTCCAGGATTTTCTAGTCTGGAAAATTTTTTGGATGTTTCCTGACATTATTAAATTTATTGTCATACCAATTTAATGTTTGAATATGGACAAACCTAGCTTGTAACAGGGTAAATTACCCTTAATCGATAAGTCGCGTGAGATCGATAACTTTTCGACTAGCATTGAGCGCATCGATCTTCGGGCCTAGAGAGAGAGAGACGAGGAGGGGGTATTTTGGGGAGTCATTAAGTAGGTGAGCCATGCGTTGTGTCGGCAGAAGTAGTGAAGTGCTGAAACGAGTAGGATCGAGGAGTCCAAGAAGGAAGCCATTAGCAACCAAAGAGTTTCTTCAAACCAATTCACACCAGGTATTGGACTTTGATAGTGATGAGCCTTGGGGTGCATACCCGGCTCACTAAGTACACTACTTCTCATTTTTTATTAAATTAATGGTAATTCAGTTGTTTAATAATATTTTGTTTAATAATAATTAATTATTTTAATCAATTTAATTTTTTAGCTTTGTGAACAATTCCTCCTGGGGATTTTACACCCGAGGAATGTTCTAGACCTCTTGGGTTAAAAGTCGTGAGTAATTAGAATTATTAATATGGCCAGTTAATAATTATTAACATCTCAAGATTGGCTAAATTAAATTCATTTTTATTATTTAATTAAATTTTGAGCATCGAGAAGTATTTTAATCAGCAACTCACAACTTGGTCAAGCGTCGGTACCCGAGGTCAAGCTAACTACGCAGTTACGAACAACGGCGTCCATTTTGAGCGCGCAAATTCCTTGTGAATTTTGTGACGCAGTAAATTTATAAAATTAATAACTGGACTATTTTTATAAATTATCGCAATTGAATTAGCATTTAATTAATTATTTTGTATTGATTTATATTTTATTATTTATGGAAAATTGTTTATATTATATTTGGAAACAATTTTAATAACCGGAAATTTAATTATTGAAAAACTGCGACGCATTTAGAAATTGAACGCCGTAGATAATTTTCTGTATTTAATTTTACACCGAGGTGAATTATTTATTGTCTAATCGTCACTCTCAATTTCCAGAAAGAAGTTGTTCCACGTGATATTAATTATTGAGAATTAATTTAGTAAATTTTGGCGCAGATAAGACTGATATACCCGTAGACAAACTTTAGGCAAGTAATTTTTATATTAAGTAAAATTATTAACTAACGATCTAATTTTATTGCTGAATTCTACTTGGGTTGTCTTATTTATTGAACTCATGTCCTGGAAAATTGGTCAATAATTTAATATCATTACTCCGGTAAAATTCTTTATAAAACTATTTATTCGTGTGGATTATTTCCGAAAAATTTAGTCAATTTTATAAAGAATACTCTTAGAATTTATTTAATGTGCTGAGTTAAGCTCGTGTTAAATTTGAAAGAAAAAGAAGCGTCGGTTTTAAGCCGGAATTTTTTAGAAATAATTTTTACTAATCGTGGGAAATTGTAATTTGTAAATTGCGAGCTAATGACTGAAAATTTTAGTGGAAATTAACGTTGTAAATTTTTAGAGTTCCGTTTCGTAAATCCGGAAATAGAAAGTAGAGTAGAGTTAGTGTGTGTGTGAGGATAGTGTGGGTTATGTGTGTGTGAATGGTAACAGCGTTTCTTCGCATACGATTAGTCTCGTTGCGAGGTGTTTCGCTGGCGTAGAAGCCGTTATATAGACGCCAAGTGGGGTACAGCGGTAGTAAGGTAGAAACTGCAGTATAGTCGCTCCATAAGAGGGTACTGTGGGATTTAGCAATTTTTTGGTAAGCTCGCGGGAGGACATCGGTCTACGTTTAGTCACTGGGTCGACTACTTCCGTGAGCCAAGTTAACGAGCCTTTGCATACGATTAGTCTCTTTGCGGGGTGACAAGGCGGTTGAGTCGTGGAGTTGAGGTTGAGTTAGTGGTAGTTGAGTTGAGGAGAGTAGTTATAAGTCGTAGTGTTAAGATAGTTGTAAGTGAGTTAGTTGTAAGTGAGTTGGGAGTACGTGCAAGTGCACGAGTTGTTATTTTATTTTGTTAATAAATTTTTGGATCCATTGTTAAATAAAAATTTATTCATTTTTAGAACACCTTCCTCCACTCTCTCTCCCTGTAGATTATTAAGCTCAGCTCTGGTTTCCGGTTCCAGGAACCGCATTGAAAAACCCTGGTGGCGCCCATATTTACTTTAGAGACATTTGTTTATTATATTGCTATTGTTTAAATTTAAATAAGGGGCCAAATGAGCGGGAAATAAACCACCCGTTACAAGCTGTTTGTAATCTGTCCTTTATTTCCATCCAATCTTCTGGAGAATCATCTTCATATAGCCGAGAAAGAGCGTCTGGGCCCTCGTTTGTCGTATCTCGCTTATGCTTGATGGTAACTTGGTGAGAAAAGAGCTCAACTGCCCATCTCACCAGGCATCCGTTTGGTTCTTTAAGTGAGTGTAGCCACAATAGAGAAGCGTGATCTGTGACCACCGTAAACGGAGCACCTTCGAGATAGCATCTCAGCTTCCTCACCGCCCAGACTACAGCTAAGCACTTCTTTTCTGTAATCGTATATCTAGTTTCTGCACCACGGAGCTGACGACTGAGACAATTAATCAGATGCTCTTTGTTTGTTCCGGGTTCTTTTTGAGCTAGAAATGCCCCAAGACCGGTATCGCATGCATCAGTATATAATACATACGGCCAGTCGGGTTTTGGAATTGACAAGGGCTGAGCATCAACGAGAGATTGTTTAAGCAATTGAAACGACTTTTTCTCTTCTGGACCCCACCTCCACTCCGAATTTGCGCCTGTTAATTTGTTCAAAGGACCTTGAGCCTTCGCAACATTCTGGAGATGGCGGTGGTACCAGTTAACGAGGCCCAAAAAACTTCGTAATTGTTTTTTGTTAGTTGGAGTGGGAAAATTAACGACTGGTGAAATTCTTTCAGGATCTGGGTATAACTCAGTTTCGTTGACCACGAAGCCTAAGAATCTCACCTCGTTTCTGCAGAACTTGCACTTTTCCGGGTTGATAAGGAGACCAAATTCGCAAAACACCTCAAAAAGAAGAGCTAGGACTGTTAGATGTTCATCAAAGGTTTCGCTTATCGCGATCCAATCATCAAGATAGGCGAAAACCTGTTCAGCCCATTTTAGTGGAAGCTCTCTTTGGACTAGTATTTCGCAAAAACGCGTCTTTACGTGGTCCATAGCTTTTTGAAAGGTACTAGGAGCTCCTACGAGTCCGTATGGCATACGTAGCCACTCGAATTGGCCTCTACCCTCCACGGAGAATTCTGTTAGTGGAACTGAGTCTGGTGACATGAGAATTTGATGAAATGCCTCTCTTAAATCCATTGTTGAGATGTAAGTAGCCCCATGAAGAGCATTCAGTATTCTGAGCATGTTCGGCAGTGGGTGAGCAGGTGGAATTGCCACTTTGTTAACTGGACGATAGTTGATACAGAATCTCCACTTGTTGTTGGGTTTGGAGACCATCAACGGCGAACATGACCAGACACTGAAGCTCGGGCGAATGAACTTTTTTTCCAGGAGCTCATCAATCTGTTTATTCAACTCTTCGCTCACAACTGGACTTCTACGATATGGTTTAATTCGTACAGGTTGTGTTCCTGGTTTTAAAACAATTTCATGTTGAATAATTTTAATTGCTCCTAGATTCGACACTTCATCAAATTTTCTCAACTCAGTCTCCAGAAAGTGTTTTAATTTTACCTCTTGAAGTTCAGACATAGCACATAAATGTGCTGACTTCTCATGACAGTTGATAGGTTGGAACAGAAAGACTTCTGGAGAATCCGAAAATTTCCACGTGCTGTTCTTGCAGTCGATTTGGACCTCGAATTTGGTCGCGAAGTCCATCCCCAGAACCAAGGAATAACCTAGGTCGGGTAATACACTCAAATATTGTTCCCCAGCGACAGATCCGACTTGAATTATGAAAGGGGCTCCACCTCTACTTTTACAAGTAGAGTGATAAGCAAGAAGCACTCCTTCCTTCGTTTGATCGTCCTGGAGCTCACCAGCAGCTAGATGTTTGATGTCCTCATACACTTTTTCGTTAATGTAAGACCTCTCACTGCCAGCATCCAAGATTCCTTGGAGCTTCACACCAAATATCCATACGGATATTGGTATCCGTGACGTCTTTTCCGGTGGTGACCCGTTTCCGGGCTTGAAAATTCGTCGACTAGCTAGTCGATGAATGAAAGAGGCGGTGAGAGGTTTACCTTGTAGTATATGTGGTAAAAACAAAGCTCTGTTGGTTCACAGAGTGTTTCGACTTCATCTTCCCACTCAGAGTCAGATGCTTGTTCTGGCTCTGAGTTATCATCAGAATGTTGTTCCAAAGCAAATATACAAGGATCGAGTAAATCATCAGACGGGTCCGATGCAGGATCTTCTAATAGAGCGATTACTCTCAATACCTCCTCTGAACAGAGTGGTTTCACAGCTTTTGTTACTTATATATTGACTTCAGAGCCAGTAACAAACGTATTGTTTATTTTCCCCCTTTCTGGCCCACAAGAAGAGACTGGTATAAACCCCGCATCTCTTCTAGGGGATGAATCCAGACGGGTATTATTTCCAGATTTGTGTAATTTGTTTCCCTGTTTATCAACATGTTCTGGTGAGCACGTGGGAAACTTCCGCGCTACCTCTACACGTTTTTTTGATTTTGTTGATCTAACTCTTCTTCCAGGATTTCAGTAATAACTGGTCCTGACGTAGGTTGAATATTTACAGGGACAAACAGAGGACACTTTTCTCTAGTATGTCCTACTTGGTAACACACATTACAAACTTCTTTTCTAGGACCTGGACAGACATCAAATGTATGACCAATTACTCCACAGTTGAAACATGGTCTTGGCCCACGTAAGTGGTTCAAGTTGTAAAATTGGCCTACATTCTGTACTGGCACATTCAAGGATTGTACTGCTGCTTGTTGATATTGATGAGGAACAGCATTCTGTCCTGGTATCCTAGTATTAGAAGTTCCAGGTTGAGTATTTTGTGCAGGTGGTTGTTGGGTACCAGGTTGAGCAGCAGGCTGTTGTTGCCTCGGATAAAATCCTCTACGGACGTACTGTCTGTTTGTTGGAAACTGGTTGCTAGCACGTCTGAATACTCCGTAGCGATTATCGTACTCCCCTGAGTTTAAATGCATGGCATTAAATTCAGGGAATTCGACATATTCTTCCAAAATTTCCATCTCTTCGTTTGGCTGTTGAATTTCTCCGAAGCGAGGTTTCTCCGGGTTCTTAGTTTGATTCACAGCCTGATTTTTGCTGCTCGTATTCTTTGTACACCTGGCTGCATCGTGTAGCACATTCAGTAGGTCTTCATACGTTGAGACTTGTCTCGCAAATACCATGATTCTTAGCTCGTCTGTTAGGTTGTTTCGTATGCAGTTCACCTGCTCTTGGATTGTTGGAGGGATTTCCATTGCTCGATACTTCTGTTGGTCATTGAGAACGAATTCTGTGGCACTATCCTCAGGTTTCATCCTCATCTGACCAATGTCTAAAATCATTTGATGGTCTGTTGTTGCAGTTCCAAAAGTTTTTCGAAACTCCCTCTTGAATTGGGCAAAGTTTACCCATCTACTGTAATTTGCATCAACCCAACGAGCTAGTGTTCCTTTTAATGTGAGAGTGATCACCTTCAATAGCTCTACCTCGTTCCATTCTTCTCGTCTGGCTCTTGCTTCTAACGAGTTAACAAAGTCGTTGGCTGTGACTCCTGGTTGAGGGAAACAGATGCCTGACATCTGGATACTATCTTTAATTTCCCTTCAGCGGTTGTAGGCAACTTGGCTCAAGCGATTGATGGTATTCATTCTCGTATAGACCCCTACAGGCGCTCTTGATTGATAATTATCAGGAAAATTACCTGGATAATTGGCCTGTGGTATATTTATGTAAGTGTTACTGGATATAAACCCCCGGTAACGATCTTGTTGGTCAATATCTTGGAAATCGTTTCCTTGATTGATGTAAGTATTAGACGTGGACTCGTCCATGAAAAATTAACCAAGTCAGGAATCGAACCTGGATCTCCCCGATTTTATGTCAGGATGGTCTACCAGTTAAGCTACCGGGTCATTCTTCACTTATTTTCTCTCAGTATACACTTAACTCTCAGTAGTTGTCAATACTACGCTACCCCCTCCCTTTAAACCTGGCTTGGTTAATTTTTCATGGATTTTTTCAAAGTTGCCCTTCATTCTCAGTAGCTTTCCATCGTTAATACTTAACATGTAGTCGAACAGATACTAGCATTCACCAGCTAACTAGTATTCAAGTTCGATGGTTGCCCATCGACCTAACTATCCGAAGACGAATTGTCTCAAATTGTTAGTGAAGATGGAAATTTCCATCCACTTGAAAATTAGATTTATACTAGCATGAAAATGACCGATAGGTGATAACCGGGTTAGAAGAATTATAATAAAATCACGGTTGATAAAATTAATAAGAGTTTAAAAAGCGCCTAGAAAATGGAAAACAGAAGTACTACAGTTTCCATCGTAGTATGGAGTTTAAATGGAGGGGGTAGCGTAGTATTGACAACTACTGAGAGTTAAGTGTATACTGAGAGAAAATAAGTGAAGAATGACCCGGTAGCTTAACTGGTAAAGCATCTTAACAAATATAAATAATGCTGTGAAGCGAGAAAGAATAGGAGTTACGGATAATTATTACGTGAAGCGTTCCAACAGAATAATTGGTAGGAAACGATTGAAAAAGGATTGTGGAGAGGAACTTCTTAATGTGAGTGTATAGAATATGCGAGAAAAAAAATTATTAGATAGCTCGGACTAGGATTCGAACCCAGAACCTTCCGAAGACATGTCAGCTACAATCGGGGAGATCCAGGTTCGATTCCTGGCTTGGTTAATTTTTCATGGATTTTTTCAAAGTTGCCCTTCATTCTCAGTAGCTTTCCATCGTTAATACTTAACATAAAGTCGAACAGATACTAGCATTCACCAGCTAACTAGTATTCAAGTTCGATGGTTGCCCATCGACCTGACTATCCGAAGACGAATTGTCTCAAATTGTTAGTGAAGATGGAAATTTCCATCCACTTGAAAATTAGATTTATACTAGCATGAAAATAACCGAATAGGTGGTTACGGGTTAGAAGACTTATAAATAAACTCTAGAATTCAAATAAATTTGTTGAATACAACAAATTTACGAGATAATTTTTCAAATTACGAAAATAAAACTCCTAAAATAAATTCAATTTGAGTTCCAAAATAATATTTTAGAATAAATTTTAAAATAGTTTCAAAATGAATCCGAAATAAATGCCAAAATGATTTTGTAAATTTAATTCTCAAAAAAAATAATTCTTGAGAATAAATTTCAAAAAGAAAATTCCAAAATAATATGAACTTAATAACTTTTAGAAAATAAATTAAGTTTCAGAAAAAAATTTTCACTAAACTAAAATTCAAAATAAATTTCCGAAACAAATTTAAATTTCAGAAAAAAAAAAAATTAATTTTCAGAAAAATTAAATTTCTAAAAAAAAAAGTTCAAAAGACAATATAACTTGTTTCAAAATAAATTTCAAAAAACTATTTAAATTCTCAAATCAAACTCCAAATACAATTCTCCAAAGTAAATTTTCAAATAATAAAAATAACTTCCCAAAAAAAAAAAACTTCCAAACAAAAAAAAAAAAACCTTTCAGTTTTAAGTTTCAATTAATTGAAAAAATTTTGAAAAATAGAATTTACTAAATAAATCAAAAACTTTGAAAAATAAAACAAAAATTCAATTCCTTGATAAATTTCGAGGGCTAGTTATCCAATCAAATGTTGAATTAATTTTCAAAATAACCCTCGAAACAAAATTAAATCTTCGAATAAATTTTAAAAATTACAATCCAAAAAATATTTCAAATATCTAAATTAAATTTTAAAAGTAAGAAAATAAAAAAATAAAAGGATTTTCTTTTAGAAAACTAAACCTCGAAAAGTTTTATAAAAATTGATATTCAAAAATATTTTAGGTTAATTTATAATTATAATTAATAATAATATTCAATTCAACTATTGCAATTGCATTTGGAAAATAACCGAAAATTTAATTATAATTAAACAATTATTCCAAAGATTAAATTTTGTTTAGAATAAAGAAGGTAAAATTATTAAGGAGGTATGGTGAAAAATCACTTTTCTTACAATATTCCTTAATTTTTAAATTCGTGTACTTCTGTGTCCTCTATACGAATAAATTTTTTTTAATAGTCCTTGCGGTGTTAATTTTCGAAATATTAGCAATTAAAAATCGTACATTTAACATGTATTCCCTATCCTGACCGTAGTTAGAGCGAACATTTTATTGAATAACAACCATACTTTTCTTAGGATTTTTTTTAAAAACTGAGAATATTTAATTGAAGTTATAACAAGTTTTTTTTTTGAAAAAAAACATAAACGAGTGGTATTAATTTTTTTGTAAACAATGTTCAAAGTTCGTTACTTTTAATGATTTTCAAGCGTTCTCTTATAACCTAATAAGTGAGAGATAGTGACTAGGCAACGTTGCACTGCGCGGGAAGTTCAAAATATAGTAGAAGCCCAACAGATTCAAATAACTATAAAAATTTAATGGATATAAGTTAAGCACAAATTTACTGTATAGGAAAAATAAATATGTTAAATAATAAATAGTATAAATCAAGAATATAGCTACAATATTAATATAATAAATAGTCATTTATTTAAAAGTACATTTTTCAATAAACATTTTATAAAGGCTCTCTTTATAAAAAATCAATCTCTATAATCGAGAAAATAAAGCTTTTAGAGAGAAAAAAATTTTTTTTCATTGAAAAAATTAATAAAAATCACAAAATTGCTCATAATGGTGATTTTTGCAAAAACAAAGAATTTAAAGCTTCGGGGCACAATGAAAAAAAAATCGCAGCGCTTTGAATTTTTGAGGGATTTTAGGGGACACTTTAAGGTTAAAAAATTACCGACGATATCCTTCGTTCATCCATTTTATCAAAAGTTATACCAAGTTATCCAAATATCCTTAATTATGCGAATTTTTGTCTTTTTTTCAGTCCGAGTTTTCAATTCAAAAAAAAATTTTTTTCTAAAAGATGTTTACATTTTCTTATAGAGAATATCGTGCAGTTTTCAAAACCCTCCTTCGATTTCCTGTACAATCATTATTTCCGGAGTTGTTGAATACCAAAGTCAAAAAGAACTTTTTTGCTTTGATTGACGATAACTCCGCGGCAAATCGTCGTACAGGCTTTTTGAATACGCCAAATTAAAGAGTATTAAACTCACTAAAAGAGTTTTTGAACGAAACAATCAAAAAAATTTTTTTGAAGCCCGTGGACCTTTTTTTAGACGGGAAAAAATTTGGAAAAATTTTTTTTCGGCAGTTCTCTTAGGATTTCTCCAGACCTGGACATGACAAAAATTTTTTATGGTCAGATCTGAAAACTAGACACTTGGAGCTACAATTTGCTTTTTTTTATTTTTTCTGTACCACCATTTTCCTCGGAGTTACAGCTTGTTGAAAATCACCCAAAAATTTGGAATTTTTTTTATATCCCTTAATTTTTGTGACTAGTGTATTTCCACTA